ATAGCTAGGTGTTAGTGGCGGGCACCTGTAGTCCCAGCTACTCGGGAGGCTGAGGCAAGAGAACCTCCTAAGCCCAGCAGTTGGAGGTTGCTGTGAGCTGTGATGCTGCAGCACTCTACCGAGGATGATAGAGTGAGATGCTGTCTATAAAAAAAAAAAAGGAAAAGAAAAGAAAAGAAAGGAAGAGTATGGAATGTGATCTCTTTTCCACCTGTAGCTTTTTCTTTTATATCTCATCTGCCTTCTTTGGTTTCCTTTAAAACGACTACATGCTTTCTCTTCCTCCTAATCACTAGGGCAGTGATTTAAGACTTTCTCTAATTTATGGAAAATTATTACGACTTTTTTACTGTAAATGTTAGAAGTGATGCTACTGCCTGTATTCAATAGCAACAGGCCTCTTGTGGGATTCTCTTTCATGGGATGGGGCCTGACCCCTGAATGGAGCCTCCCCCGTCCCTTCACGTCCCACCTAGTCTTCCCTCACCTCTCTAAAAGCTGTTACCTGAATTCCCCTGAAGCTTCGGTCCATTGTTTGCATTACAGATACTGATGGCAATGGATACATCAGCTGCAATGAGTTGAATGACTTGTTCAAGGCTGCTTGCCTGCCTTTGCCTGGGTATAGAATAAGAGAAATTACACAAAACTTGATGGCCACAGGTGATCTGGACCATGACGGAAGGATCAGCTTTGATGAGTTTATCAAGGTGAGTGCCATGCAGAATACAGGGAGACACACTGGACCCTTGGAACTTTAATTCACTTTCCAAAAATATCCAGAAAGATGCTCCTACCTGCCTTGCTTCAATGTTCCATGGGCTTTTTTTGTGTGATTTTCTTAATTACTGCTTGGGTTTCTAAAAATACATTACATTTTTGCAGGTTTTTCATGGCCTAAAAAGCACAGATGTTGCCAAGACCTTTAGAAAAGCAATCAACAAGAAGGAAGGGATTTGTGCAATTGGTGGTACTTCAGAGCAGTCCAGTGTTGGCACCCAACACTCGTATTCAGGTAGGCCGTGCGCATGGATGGGAGCAGAGGTGGAGAGGGCATTGGTGTGATGAGAGAGCAGAGGGTGAGGCGAGAGGGCACCATGTAGAAAGGATTCATGCCTTCTGGTGTCATAGATTCTAAACTTGAGATTCAAACCTAAGGGGCATAAACAAAGACAGAAGCAAACTTGACTTTACGGACTACTGTCTACTTTCCTGTGTGTAAGTGGGTCAGGTGCATAATACAGGAGCCGTGCTGGCTCCAGGTAGGATCCAATACCAAATGATCTCATTAGCATTTTACAAAATACATTAAAGGCTGCCCAAAATCCTTTATAAATCTCACAGAAAAAATTAGCTACTCAAGCTCCTGTCTTCAAATGTCATGATTATTTTTAACCCCTGCTGAGTGATCAGAAAAGCTTGTGTTGTCGATGATTTGGGAGAAAGTGGTATGTTTATTCTGAGGGCTGCCGTCCAACAGCCTCAATGGAAACTTCCAGTGGCCCAGACAGCGGAGTAAACCAGCATTTCACAACTCGAGTTCTTCATTAGTTGATATCAAAGAAAAATTTATGGTTAACTACCATCTATAGCTGCTAGGTTAATTAAATAAAATTTAATTTTCATAGCCTTTGCCATGTCAAATGTGCATTATGAGGCTCAGTGCCCCTAGCACAGTGGTTAAGGCGCCAGCCATATACACCAAGGGTTGCAGGTTCAAACCTGGCCTGGGCCAGTTAAACAACAATGACAACTGCAACAAAAAGTAGCTGGGCTTTTAATAAATAAATAAATAAATAAAAATGTGTATTGTGAATCTTCCTACCCTACAGTGATAGGCCACATGGTATTTTCCAAACTTTTGTGGCTCAGGATTTTTCTGAGGGACACTATTGTTTTCAATGACAGACAACTTGGGAAAGTCAGTGCTAGGCTGTAAGGTATAATCTAAGGTTTTATTAAAATTTCTAAAATCACCATCTGATTGCTTCTCAGCTTTTGGGCTAAGATCAAGTGTAAAATCACTTTCCGAAAGCTTTATTGATAGGAAAGAAAAATTATATCACGAATGATCTCATTTCATAGCAATAAAGAAGCTATACGATAATGGCCCACATAAAATAAGAATAAAGAACTCAGAGATAATGTAAGAATTGTCTGTAGCTGTCCAACATTTAAATCAACAGTGCTAAAGGCAGAACTTTGGGTTTCATTTTATAACCACATTTATATTTAAAGTCTGTATGTAGAAATAAAGTATACATGTACATATATAGAAAATATAAACTATGTATACGTTTGCTTCTAAATGCAATATATCTGCATGATGTAAACATAAAGTTTTCCTATGTGTTGGCCATATGTTTTATAACTTGGAGTGAACATAGATTTGGTGCCCATTTCCCCCGTTATCTGAGATTTTTAAATGTTGATAAATATGAGATGAGGCTCGGCTCCTGTAGCACAGTCATTATGGCATGGGCCACATATACCGAGGCTGGCGGGTTTGAACCTGGCCCAGGCCAGCTAAACCACAACGACAACTGCAGCAAAAAATAGCTGGGAGTTGTGATGGGCGCCTATTGTCCCAGCTACTTGGGAGGCTGAGGCAAGAGCCTCGCTTAAGCCCAAGAGTTTGAGGTTGCTGTGAGCTGTGATGCCACAGCACTCTACTAGGGCAACAAAGTGAGACTCTGTCTCAAAAATAAAAAAAAAAGAGAGATGAGAAGATAATTGCCCATATAAACTCACATCCTCTCTACTGGGCATGAGAATCTAAGATGCACATGGACAGTTCTGTTTGTATCAGCTTTTCACTTTGCAAATCAGTCGTTTTACCTGTTTACTTGTAGAGGAAGAAAAGTATGCCTTTGTCAACTGGATGAACAAAGCCCTGGAAAGTGATCCAGATTGTCGGCATGTCATCCCAATGGATCCAAACACAAATGATCTCTTTAATGCTGTTGGAGATGGCATTGTGCTTTGGTAAATAATACTCCTTCCTTGTTTCCAAAGACGTTCCCATTTTCTGGATTATCAACAACTAATCGTGTTTCTCACAGCCCAGCTGTCCTTGGTGCTCAGCGGCACCTGGGATGCTTTTCCGGACTTTCATTTGGCCTCATCCAAGAGAGCAAATTAATTTCTGAAGCAGCTTATAATAAGAAATGTAAAGCTGCTACTGTCTGGGTGGAGATAAACACAGAGGTACAGAACATACGGTCCAAATGCTGGGTACTTAAGTGGCAGAAATTGATAAAGCACTGATTTAACAATGACTCTAGAAAGACATAAAAA